TAGAATTAGACCAAAAAAAAAAAAAAAAAAAAAAAAAGAATTAGACCATCAACATTTAAGCAAGGCCACTGGTTGTCCAGACATAAAAAAAAAATAAATAAAAAAAAATAAATCTAAGTTTTGGTGACAAAATGTTTGAATTATCAGCTGGCACACATTTATGGTACTGCTGTCATTATCCAAATCAATTTCATTTGCCAAAGTAGTCCACACAAACACGTAAAAATAATTAAGCTATATGGTACTGGGAGTTACAGTAAGAGTAAAGCATATTGTGTATTGTTATTAGTACCACCCACTGTATTGAAGATGTAGTGCATTTTTTTCAGGTTGATTTAAATAAATGTCCCATGGCCTTTTAGAGAAATTGAAGCACAAAGTGAGGAATTGTTTCAATCCTGGGAAAAGGCTAAGGTAAATAAAAAAAAAGACACTATAGACAATACTTGGAATTCCCAACTGTAAAAGTCTGCCTGGTAAATGCTAATTTTTTTCATTAAAGAGACAGCCTGGGGAAAATGAGAACTTGACATTGTGGCAAAAGCACGCCACATTCTTTATCCCAATAAACACTCATTATTTAAGCCAAGAGTCCAACCAAAGTAAGATGCATAAAAACCCCTTTAATTTCCTGAAGTTTAAATCAGTGTAACATGGTTAATTGGGCAGTATACATAAAGCCTTCCTTAAAGGTCACAGCTACAACCTTTTGATCGAAATGATTAACATGTCAAAAATAGTACATCAACAAAACATTAAGAGTGCTGCAAAAATAAAAGCATTAACTTTCATTTAAAATATACATTAATTTAATACACACATTGACTTAAGGAAACAAAGAGAGTCAGAAGGAATGCAGAGGTTGGTGCGTCTTTTCTGAAATTTTAAGACGAATGTTTGGTTTTGTTACAGTAGCATTAAAATTAGCAATAGCAATAGCTTGTAACTGGCTGGCAAATATTACACAAGAGCGGGAAAGTGCTCCATTTACTAAACTTGTAGCAATATCCTTTAAAAAAAATGTCTAAAATATATAAATATTGATGTTGTACAAACACATAATATATAACTTTAAAGATTCAAAGCATTCTAGAGTTTAAATTGTTTTCCTGGATTCTACAGTGTAAACATATTTTAATGTTCAATGTAAGGTGACACAATATTGGGTTAATTAGAGCGCCATGATGTGGTTCTTCAATAAAGTCCCTTCAGCTGTAACACTTAGCAGACATGTCGTGCTAAGCTGTTACAAGGATTCACTATTTTCGCGCCACTAGTGCAGAGCAGCTGAAGAAGGGAAGGCAACATGGTCAGCTTCCCTAGGCCCTTCAACCATTACGTTACATTCAAGAATGTATTTTAAAAATATGCCTGCTCGTAAGGGAAAATATGAAACCAATATATTTATTACATAATGAGTTTTTATATTTTTTTTAAGGTGTATAAATAAACTAAAGCAATATTGCTTTTGTTTATAATTTTAGGTCATCAGAGATCAGAATTAGATTTTTTTAGAAAACAAAATAATTTCCTAGGATAACAGAGAGACTTTCTTAACTAAACCTCCAAAAGGGAGCCACCTCTAACAGAAACAACTTCTACATCAAATGCAGTTTCTTAATGTAATAAATTGTGAAAACGTGTAGGGAGCAGTAGCGGCTGCCATGCTATTCTTGTCTGATCTCTGGTGTGGTAATTGAGGCCATGTGTCTGACAATAGGAAACTCACATCAAATCCCTTAGAAAGGAACAAAGTGCTATTAATCACCAGGACAAGGCGTCATGACCAACAGCACAAACCCTCCACCACCACTACACACAACACATCCACTGACTGACCACGGTTAATGAGCTATGGCTAAGTCTACACAAACCTGACTTCCACAGGAATTTGTCTCTCCCTATATATTTTAGTGTGTGCTTTTCGGGTTTGTGGATCATTAGGAAACAAATGATGTGAATCTTAATTTAAATTTAGAGAACAGAGTTTATTCATATATATATATATTTTTTTTTGCATTTATCAACCATGGTCTGATGCATGTTTTTACTCAGTTATTTCTAATAATGACATTGATAAGTATAGAACTTGACCATAAATTCAACACAACACTTCCCTTCAAACACCCTTCCTTATATATATATATATATATATATATATATATATATATATATATATATATATATATATATATATATATATATATATAAATGCAGACCAACACCAAAAAGGAGTGGACACATCTGTGATCCAATCAGCAAGAATTCAGACAAAGATCAGCCTGACTTCCCCATGAATATGGTGGCAGGAAGCTGCAGTCAGGCACATCTTGTATTTGGAGCAAAGGGTGGGGACATGGATCATCAAACTCTCCAGTGAGCTCATTACTCCCTGCAAAAGGGCAGGATGTTTCCAAGATGGCGGGAAGAGATTAAGAAAGATGACTCGAATTCCAAGTTTTTGCCAATGGAATCAATTTTGTGTTCCTTGAAACAGATGGTCCTGGGCCAAGCTGAAATATTTACCCACTTCGATTAAATCGCCTCACAGCCCAGTGTAATCACAGTGCTCCCGTTTGAAAGGACAAAAAAAGGAATTTTTGATAGATTTTTGTAAAAAAAAAAAAAAAAAAAAAAAACATGTAGACAAGCAGACACTCAGACTCAAACAAAAAATAAAATCAGTATATATTCCTATAGATGCAGTATCATAACCCAAACATTTTTATTCATTTTCTAAAAAATGTTTGACTTGGTAGAATGAGAGCATGTTCTTTTAACAAACCATCCTTTATCTGAAGGATATCAATTTTCTACAGAAAACAGGTTTGTACATAAATTGCTGGCAAACAAACATAGAATGTTTGACTGTTTGTGTGATTTGATTTATTTCCTTCATTCAGACCAGACCTGGGCATCTAACAGCAAACATGTCACATCTGTCTGCTTAGATGCCCTGGACTGGGCGGCAGTAGTCAACGGAATCTCCTATTATTAACCCTGCAGAAAGTACATTCAATTATAAAAACAGATTTGAATAGGCTCCTTTTTAATTTGAAAATCTACATTTGTTTTTAAAGCACTATCAGTGGTTTCTCTGTTTGGCTAGCTGCTGTAGCACAGGTGCATGTGTCATGATATTGGGAAATGGTAACAAGAAAAACATACATAATGTAGTTTTGTACTTGTATGTAAGAGGTGAACATTGCATCATCATAGCAATAATAGCACAATATTAATATTGCAAAGGACCTCCTAAAATACATTATTTGTTGTTTTGGTGTTTCCAGTTTTCAAGCAATTTTTAAAATTCTGGAAAATATTTAACCTGGATGTATCTAAAATAACAATGTCCTGGAAACTGAAGATTATGAAGAGAAGCCAAAACAAAACTATGTTATTTAACAGTATTTTATCAGTAAAGGTGCTTTATTTGTCATGATTTAAAAAAGGCTATATACCACAGAATTTTATAGATTGTGCTCGTTGTGACTGAGCATGCCGCCACTAACGGCTGACCAGACCATACCAGCATGTCTTTCATGGTAGGGGAAACCAGGGATCCCGTAGGAAACCTACGCACAACATCTAAACGTCCCTGCGGAGACTATGATGTCAACCGAGGACCTTCTTGCTGTGCAAACAAATGTGTGAACAAATGTCTCTGTGATTCCTAGTAGATTAAAGCTTTAATAACCATGTCAGTCTAAACATGCAGTAAAAATGAATTTGATTTAATATTTTTGCTAACTGGATCTCTAAAAAATAAGTATTTTTTACCAGCATATAAAGTTCCTGTTGTCAGTATGGCCTTGTTAAATTATTAAAAACTGTTACTTGGAGTTGATTATAAAATATAGTTTTAGAATATTTAACCTAATTCATTGTTGTACTAAAAGCACTAACTCTGATTGCTCTGATTGATCATCAGAATCCCTGTGGACCTTTGGTGAAAAGTTCACACATGGTTAACCAAGAATGAATATTCTTATACCTACGAAAGAAGCTGTTGACAAAACACCATGTTTTTAGATGGCCCGGAAAGTATTAGTAATGTAATTTTGTCAATAGGTAAGCTTACTAATATTTAAAAATTCCTTGGCTAGGTAAAACAAAGACTGTTTTTGGTCAGACTAAGCTAAACAATCAACAATGATACAAGCTGAATTTCATAGACGGTATGAAAATAACAGTGGTGAAAAACGCCAACAGATAATGGCTACACAAACTTCTGCTGTGACTTACTGAATAAAAAAATATAAATAACTACCAGCAGGAAGCAGATGAATGGCTGACATGTACTAACAATTCAAGGAAAGCTTAGATAGTGGTTCTTTTGATTGTTTGCCATTTAGTGTGACTACTTGAGCTGTAATAGTGCAGATTTTACCTCAAAGCAACACTGATCAATGACCACAATGTGGCATTGCACTGTCGTGTGTCACAGCAAACCACACAAACATGTTTTGATCTTCCCTGATAAAAGAACTGCTGACAAGCACAGAGCTGTTGCCTACAGTACATAGATAAATCGTTACGTTAAACAAGGCACAGTTAGCAGAACTTCAAGCATGAAAGTAGACAAGAAACTTGGACTCTGATCAGTAGAGTAGGTTGTCTGCTCGGCTACTATATGCTTTCAAAAGGCTATTTTAAAACTAAAAATAGTTGCTGTATCAAACAACGAAAATACACCATTTTCTGGTAAGGTCAAAAGCTTTAGGTTGTTAAAGAACATTGTTGAGCCAAACAAAGTATGCATAGATTGAAGAGCTTCACAAGGTAAGTTGAAAATAAAATCTACTGTCGTCTGAAAGACACGATTATTCAAGAAGTGAAAAATTGTTCCGGATATTTTCAAATGTGGACAAATTTTAGTCAGAATCAACACCATTTAATCACAAAGCCGAAGCTTAGCACACCAGCTCTTTTATTTCTTTTAAAGCATATATTGTATCAAAATCAAATGACGTACACAGTGTGTAAGTTTAATGTCCTACCTTTGCTGATGTCCTGGTACTCCAGCCACAGCTGTCTCTGGACTTGTTTGTTGGGGTACCAGATGGTACAGGACTCCTGGAAGCCATAAACTGCCTCCTGTACATAGTGGTTCCCGAACTCCCTCAGGATCGAGACAAAGTCGCTGCGCTGCGTTGCCCCGTCTAGAGAATGGATTGCAGAGCTAAAAGCTGGGAAGATAGAAAGCAGATGATGGCATTACTGTTGTGGCATTTTTAATTAGTTCGTACTAAGTGCTATTTCAATCTGAAAAAAACTCACACAAAGAGAAAAGACAATTAGGATAAATTTATTGATACAATTACTTTGTTTTTGGCGCTCAGAACTCAGCAGGAAACATAGCAGTTAATTTTGATAGATATGCATGAACAGGAGCAAAGAATAGGGCTGTTTCCCCCCAGGCCTGAAACTTGTGGTGGAGTGGAAATAGATGAAGTTGGTCAGTCTGTAGACTTTTGGTTAGGGAGATGGTATGCTGAGCTTTTGGGGAGATCCAGTGGACTGCGTGAGCTGATACTAGAGCTTCACTCAGGGATCTGGAAGACGGAAGTCCAGTTGGATAACCCAGGTTGAGAGAACCTGTTCATGATGAGCAAGAATAAAGCGACAGTGAAGAGAAAAAACTCCCCGTTGGGAAGAAACCTCTGGCAGAACCAGGCTACACATGGCGGTCTTCTGCCGGACCGGTAAAGATGAGACAGGGAACGCAGTAAGTGTCCCAGAGGAATGACACTCTGATGAAGCTTTAGTTACGAAGGTGGAGGAGGGGATGGAAGTGGGTTGAAACGGTGTCATCTGAATGAAGTCACAGCGCATCCGCCGCCTGCGCACAGGAGTAGACAGGTGTGTATCGGAGGCCTTTCAAGATGAGCTTTGGGTGCCGATTGGCTATCGTGGAGGCGTTGTTCAAAGCTGATTGGCTGTGTCGCGGATGGGTGTATGGAAAACAAAGAGTTTCTTCAGTTGAACTTCCGCCTAGGCTCCATTTTAAATAGCACTTGGAGATTATATCAATTTATAATATATTTGTTTATATGTTTATATGAAAGTATAATGAATAATTTATATTGACAAAAAGATATTTCCCTTATAATCACATGCTAATTTTAAAGTGGATAAGCAGGACAAGTAAAGAAATTATCTTCCCAAAAATAATTTAAGTAATTTACTGACAGACAATGAGGTACAAGATTTTAATCTAAATTGATTCTCCTTTCAAGTAATGTTAAGATGGATAGTGCATACCTGGTACTCCATACAGATATTAACTACCTAAAAGCTCAAGTATCTAAACAGAGGGAGTAAAATAATAATAATAAAAAAAAAATCTGCTCCATCAGAGTCGGAGGATGTGTGCTCAGTCGATTTCCCTTCCCATGGTTATCACCTGACCATGCTTTTACACATGAGAAACACCTGGTCATTGAATAAGTGGATAAAAAAGGGAGAATCTATGTAGATGCATGAAGTCAACCACCAAGGACATTTGTAATGAACATAGATTAAACAGACCTTAGCATCAGCAGCAATGCAGAAGAGGGAATTAATGACATTAAATCCTTAAAAACGACTCTGTGTCTCAGAATACAAGTTACTTGGATAATATTTACAGGTAGATTGTGGGGCAACTTTCCTCTCTGTGATATAGTTTTCAAAACCTTTTCTGAATAAATAACTTAACTAAATAAATGATTATCCAAATGTCTTTAAAAACAACTGATATATATATCACATCTCTTTCTAAAGACTAAGTAAGAAATTTAAAACATTTTCATTTCATGCAGCTGGACAATTTCAAAGATGTATGAAAAGATTCATTGATTAATACTGTGTTTAAACAAGCTTTTAATCAGCTGATGAAAAGTTGAAAAACTATATTCTTGAATAGCCAAAATCTGCACAAAAATCTGATCTACTTGTTATTTTATGTCAAGTATTTATGCTGCATGACCTCCTGAAAGCAAAGGCGCAAAACACTTTCCATCTTTAAATGTGTCAAGAGAGTTGAGCTGCACAAGAAAGGCCTCTTGCGATGACCCATTTCTGCCAAGGTTGGATTCAGTAAGACAGTCATTTTGAAATTATTATAGATCCTGAGGGTTATGGCACAAAAAAGTCAAGTGGTAGACTAAAAAAAAATGTCACCTGTTCTGAGTCAGAGAATCCGGTAAGCACTCTGGGAAGACTGACTTTCTTGGTGCTGACAGTAGCACAATAACCAGAAAATGGATAGGAAAACAACACGAGCCTTCAAGGGCCACATCGCTTATCATGCTGAAAACTTGCAGCTTTTGAGTGTATAATTTAAAAACAGACATGGACATTCAAAAGCGTAAGAAAATGTTATTCTCTGACAACAAATTTCTTTTGGATGCTTCTGATGGATTTCAAAGTAACAGCTACAACAGGTAGATCTTACTAGTTTTTTTTTAAGCACAGCTCAGTTAGTAAAGGTAGTTGGTTGATGTGTATCGATTTTTCCGTTATTGCACCAACAGTATGGAGCTTCAGGTTGTGCAGAAAGGTCAAAGCAAAACTGGCTATATCATATGTTGCAGCATGTCTTTCCTGGATAGAAGGCCCTTATCCATGGGCTCATCACTAGGTTTACAGCAGGGAAATTGTTCAACTCGTAATGCATTTTTTTAAAAAGAGCTCTTTAACAGAATAATCTGGAAACCTCTATTCTGGACCATCCTACATATACACTTAATTTAAATCCAATTAGAAAATATTTAGAGGTGGATGATGGGGAATTTACAGAAAATATCATTTAGAGTAAGACATGAAAACCAATAATTTTTCTACCTAATTTAATTTCTTTTTTTTATGTGGAGTCTATTGGATTAAAATATTAATTAACTTTTTTTGTCCTCTAACATATCTCTGCATTTGATATTTAAAAGAACAAACAAACCATTTTTTCTATAATTGTTGGGGAGACTTTTTTTAAAATCTGTATGTTTTTGAATGTCCTTTGGAATGGGATTATTTGTCACGATCCTTTAGCAAAGTCATCTGAGCAAACATCTGGCTGCATCTGAAGAGACTCTGGTTTGACCCTAGGCAGGAAGGAATTCTGAGACTAATGTTAGTCTTTCTTCCCCATTCAATTGGTGTTAAAACGGACTGAACACTCTGATTCTCACATTTCGATATTTACAATACTAATCACTGAAAATACCACAGACTTGAAAATATATATTGTTAAAGACTCCTCACATTAAAATGAATTAAATGCTGCGATCAGACAAACAGTGCAGCATGAAAAGCAGCAGTACAGTAGCAGGAATTCAAAACAGCTCTTCCCAAATGCCAGCCGAATGGTAGCCAACTTCCAGCCACTGGAGTGACCCCCTCCTTCTCCTGGGCGTGCATATTTTTGTACTCTGACTCCACCCTTTCACTGAATTACAGTGTCTGACCAGGAGATGATGCCTCTCTTTACAGCTTGAAAGTCCACAAATCATGACAGAAAGAAAATTTTAGTACAAAGATTGATGTTAAAAAAAAGGAATCTTAGGGGACCAGCCAAGGACCAACCAAGGACCCATCAAGAAAAGTGGGGAAATTTTAAATGGCTACTACTGAACATGACTGCTGATGTGCTTTAAAGATAACAAATGGTTTGTGGTTGTATTTTTAACATACTAATTATATATGATTTCCAAACAATTCAAGAAAATTTTTTTATTTTTCTTCTATGCTATTAGGAAAACAAAAACCCTCATATGATAACGTGATTTGACCGGAAGTGAAAATGTACCTAATCTTCTACACTTTTTTTAATAGACAGTAATTATTACGGTAAATCAGATAAAGGGAATAAAATTAAGGAGTTTAGATATTTACACCATTAATTTGTTATTAGTGTTCTAAATTCCCCCCTTTAATCCACTTTGTCTCACTTCAGCAACTACAAAAAGGTATTTATCATCAGAGCAGCACCTGAAAGCTGATGTTAGGTGTTTGACACCAAGCGTCTTACATGGAATTAGGTGGACATCTGAGTCATCTGCTTACTATTCATGAACTCTTTCAAGCAAAGAGTGAGGATTATCCACACTGTCCACTCATGGATATGAGCAAACTTTGCTTCTTGTAAGAGGAAATAAAAAAAAAAGCAAAGGGAGTCATACATTTGACTCTTTTCAAACCTAAAGCTGTTTCAGGAGTACTGCCTAGATCACAACTTGGTTTTAGAATAAATCAAAAACTGAGAAAACTATTAAATTAAATCTCACATGGACTGAAAATATGATGTAGGATCTAGCCCAATGCAAGTTAAGTATTCTTTAAAGCTTTTAAATAATCAACAAGCTTAAAAAAGCAGGCAGATGCTTTGATTTGTGGCAGTTGGATTCTTTTTTGTATTGAAGTTTTATCTTTCATCTGAATTATTTCTCTCCTGGGATTTAAGCCTTAATTGTGGCATATTTCAAGACGAGGAGGATTTATCTATATGAGCCCTTGTGGAAACAGAGTCTTCATGTCAGGGTTGGGTTGGTTGGTTGAGGACCCAAATGCAGAGATGAAGGTGCAAAAAATAATTTGTGGCAGATTTATTGGATATAGATGGCAACAGAAACACGAATCCAACAACAATAAACAACTAATAAAACCAGGAGACATCAGGGAAAGACACAAATGAGAATCAAAGCGATGAAGAGAAACTAGTACTGAGGAACTGCTCAGGAAGATTATTTATC